CTGTTTTATTTTTCTACAATATAGAATTGAAGATCCTGGACTTTAAAGTTCAGCTTTGGACACTTCCAACTTGAACATGCTGTGTGATCTTATGGAAATTACTTAAGGTTTCTGTGCCTCGGTTTCCCCAAGTTAAAAAAAAAGATAGTTATAATAGCTGCTTCAAAGGTAGATTGTAAGGATTAAATAAGTTAGTGTGCTGAAAAGCTTAGAAAAATGCTCGACCCATAGTAAGATTTCCAAAGGTTAGCTATTGTCATTACGGAGTGTCTTGCCAGCCTTAAGATTCATAAATCTCACTTCTTTAATCATACTGTCTTTCCCAAAACACAAAAGCAAACAGCATGTGTTTTTATTCTCACTGACATGTTCCTATAGGCCTCTATTAAAAATGTCATTCAGTAGTGCTGCATTTGGCTGCTGTAATCAAGCTATCTGACTTAGAATGTGTTCCTGCTCATGTTTTTAGCATGCCATTAATCTTTCTAAAGTGAGAACTTCTGTTGAGAAATTGTGCAATTTGTATTCCTAATAATTCTTGTAAATCACAGTCATGTATTAACTGTTACTAGTCTTTATTTAGAAGTTGAAGTAACATGCTTACTAATTCTCTGGTTTCATGATTTCCTGTCTGAAATGTCAGTTATTTCTGGATCTGTCCTCAGTCTAATGTTTTTAGGTGCTCGTGATGTAAGGCCACTCACTGTATGCTGAAGATTCCCAAAGCTGATCTCCAGCCCTGAATTGACCTGGTGTTTCCAATTCACATAGCTAGGCTTCTTACTGGCGTCTTCACAAGGGTATTCCACGAGCAGCTCAAACAGTCTACTCTGAAATGCAACTAATGTTGCCAAGAGATAGGCCCCCATCCCTCTATTCTAAAATACAACTAATGTTGCTGAAAGATCGGCCCCCATCCCTGACGAGCCGAATAACTCAGAGACAAGGTCTTGGAGTTTAGAGGCAGCTTTATTGTTGTCGGGCAAAGGAGACTCACAGCAGGCTAGTGCCTTAAAAACTATGAACCTGCCTTAGGGCTGGGGCTTAGTGATTATATAGTGAACAAATTGGGGTGTAAAAGGGAACGTTAATTAACAAAAGTCTCTGGTAAATCTTCCTCCGGAATCTTGGTGTGTCCGTCTGGTGTCATGGGGCTGTCCAGTGGTCTGGAGGGTCATCAGCCCATGACCTTCTCTATCTGGTCAGATTTATCAGGCGCCAGGAGGAACTTCGGAGGGTCTGGTCATTCTCCTGGGATTATCGTCCTGTGACTCCCTTCCTGGGAGAATGACTCAAAATCCAAACATGACTGTAAATTTCAATTATCAGAGTAATGGAATTTGACACAACATTGTAAAATTATTATAAATCAATAAAAATGTTTTAAAAAATTCCCAGAGTAAGGTAAAACAAACAGGGAAACCAGTAGCTCTAACTCTAACAATGGGCCTGGGGCTGGGAGCAGTCCGATCAGTGAGATTTGCTGACCGCTCTAAAAGCAAACAGTAAGTATAAGGTCAAGAATAGTTAACCTAAGCATGGCCATTTTATTATTTCTCCTTCACTAATACTGTTAACTGTCTTAGTTACTGACCAGCTTCAAAGATAAAAGATTTTGTCTTGTTCACTCTCTGGAACTATGTTTACTTTGAATACATCCTCCTGTGAACCTATTCTTTTGAGTAAATTATACCAACTGAGACTTGGCAGCAGCAAGGTGGATGAGATAGACCATTGATTAGACATCACCTAAGTCTTACTTTTGAGGTGTAATTAGTTTTTCATAAATGCAACGGACTCCTAGTCATTTTAGGCTTTGTAATTACAGCATGTTACCAGCAGAAGGAGATAGTTTCTTACATATTTTGTTACATTCAGTAATGAGCCTTAAAGGAATTCATTGGGCATAGATAGTTTCTTACACATTTTGTTACATTCAGTAATGAGCCTTAAAGGAATTCATTGGGCATTCCCAAGGCTGAATCTCCTAGGAGACCAGAAAGATAGTGATCTTGGAGATCATTTGAGGATGCTGCAAAGGAAATAGCTTTTGTTTTAGCAAATGGGCAATCAGGAGGCCAGCCCTAGTAAAATTATAGGCCTCCTGTGATCTTGGGCAAGTACCTTCCTCATCTGTAAAATGAGGGGACAGAATCAAATGAGGTCTAAAATTGAGGAAGTGGTGGCAGTTTCTTCCTCCAGGGGGAAAGCCCCAAGATTTGAGGCCGTGGCATAAGCAGACACTGACAAGAGACTCTAAAGCATGAGTTTCTCTATCTTGTGAAATACATTCCTACCAACAATGTAGGAGGGTTTCTTTTTCTCCATACCTCTTCCATCATTTATTGTTTGTGGGCTTTTTAATGATGGCTATTCTGACCAGTGTGAGGTGATATCTCATTGTTTTGATTTGCATTTCTATGACAACTAGTGATATTGAGTATCTTTTCATGTGCCTATTGGCCATCTGTCTGTCTTCATTGGAGAAATGTCTGTTTAGATCTTCTGCCCATTTTTGGATTGGATTGCTTGTTTTTTTGTTATTGAGTTGTATGAGCTGTTTGTATATTCTGGAAATTAAGCCCCTGTCAGTCGCATTGTTTAAAGCTATTTTCTCCCATTCCGTAGGTTGTATTTTTGTTTTATTTTTGGTTTCCTTTGCTGTGCAAAAGCTTGTAAGTTTAATTAGGTCCCATTTGTTTATTTTTGCTTTTATTTCTATTGCCTCAGTAGACTGCCATAGGAGAACATTGCTAGGATTTATATCAGAGAATGTTTTGCCTATGTTCTCTTCTAGGAGGTTTATGGTGTCTTATGTTTAAGCCTTAAAGTCATTTTAAGTTAAACAGATTCTTGGACTGGTGGCTCATATTAATCGGCTCATTCAACTTTAGCACCTATCTCATCCCCAGTAGCTTTTCTGGAACTACTACCTTCACCATGAAACTCCATGAGTTTTCCCAATTCTAACTTGGACTTCTTCAGCATTTTAATTTTTCTAACAAAGAGATCGTGGAGTGGATAAATAGATTAGTAAGCCTTTTATGTCTTTTCCAATGCTCTCTGCAGTCAACTGATTGACTACTTCTATCTAGTCATTTGTTTGTACCTCTTGAGTCATGATTTCCATCAACTTCTTCCAGATTTGGCAGACCTGTTTGTGCTGAGCATAAGAGGTCTTTTGAATCTGACTGTTGGGTTTTTTTGTTTTTTTGTTTTTGTTTTTGTTTTTTTTATGAAACCAACAGAGAATAGACAAGCAAATAACCTTAAGTAGTCTCGACATCAATATGAGCTTCAGTCACGGTCTGCCATTTTTGACTGTGGAGCACATTTTGTCACAGGTAAGATCCATGCCACGGCAATTAGTTATGCAATTTTTGCCCTGAACATCCTCAGTAATTAGCCTGAATTTTCTATATGCAACTTCATGATTCTGTAGATCAGCAAGGCTCACCTCCAAAACACAACCCTTGAGGCCTTCAGGTGTGCTTTTTAGTTCCTTGTGACTAGTGTTTTTCAATACTTCTCCCAGTTCTTTTTTTGGGGGGAGGGGGTAGTAATTAGGTTTATTCATTTATTCAAGTGGAGGTACTGGGGATTGAACCAGGACCTTGTGCATGTTAAGCACGCACTCTACCACTGAACTAAACCCTCCTCCTCTAATACTTCTTATATTGAACATAA